ACCTAACTTGATCACTCTTTATATCATCGAGGAAACGACATCTAGGCTTGGAAGGGAACCATTCCTATGCTTAACGAGTACTACCAGAGTATGTCAATCTTCCTAAGCATCTGGACAAGACCAACTCGAAATACCGCCCACTATATCCTGAACTCCGGCCCGCCATCGACACTATGAAGCGCGAAATCGAATCGTACATACGAGAAGCCCTCGAGTGTGATGCAACAGTTATTGCTACAGTGATGCATCCTAGGTACCGACTACAATTCTTTCACAAATTCTTTTCTGACCACGTTCCAAGGGTTCGTGAGCTTGTCGAAGCTGCATACAAACTCGAATTGGCTTCTAGGCCAAGCACCAAGAGCACATCAGCATCAAAAACAACTCCTTCCGCTCCTTCAACTTCAGAAGATTACCTCGATGATTTCAGCGATGGTTCAGATGATGAAAATACAACTGGCACCGATATAGAATTGAAACAGTATTTAGACAAGAAATGCATTGCTAACAAAGGAGTCTTGCCTCTTTTATGGTGGAAGGTAAATGAATCACCTCAGAATCTGTCTTTAGTTCAACTCATTTAACAGTCTTTTCTCACCGTGTTCCATAGGAAAACCATAAGTTATATCCGATTGTCAGCCGAGTAGCCCGGAACTATTTGGCATGTACTGCTACCTCATGTGCATGTGAACGCACGTTCTCAGCAGCTGGAAGGATTGCCAGCGCGGACCGAGGACTGGCCCCACAAACGATCGAGCGCGCTGTTGGGTGCCATCAATGGCTTAGTCAGGGTATTGAAGTCCCGGAAGGTTACAGAGAAGCTGTAGCAGAGATTAAAAAGGCCAAAGAAAAGAAAGTGTCAAAGAGGCTCAAGAAGACTTGACACTCTCATGTTTTATCATTCGATCACTTTCAAAAACTGTGATTTTTTTGTTTCTTTCTTCGTTCGGCTCACCAAAACTATCCTGATAAATTTTATTTCATTCATTACTTCAATTCTACAACTATAACCCCTAATGTATGTTTCTCCTCCTCTCCAAATGCTACCCCTAATACATATGTTTCTCCTCTCCTTTGTTACCTGTTTGTCCCTGTGAAAACCGAAATAAATTGCGGTTTTGGTTCGATTTCGTTTCGAATTGCGATTTATCTAACGCACCGAAACCCTAAGGTGAATTTGAGTGTTTCGGTTCAGATTGCGATTTCGCTTGATTGCGTTGCGGTCCAATCTCAACGAAACGAAATATCCCTATATTTCGGTGCGTTTCGTTTCGATTTGGGTGTTGATGAGATATAGCTTTCAAGTTAGCGACGTACGAAGGTGGTAAACATTC